CTTTATGTGTTACAAATCAACCAATTATCGATTCTGGATTGACTTGAACGGTTTTTGTTAGACCAAGTGTATTGTATTACATCCGGGTATATTTCTCTCCAGATGTCGACTAAATCAAATTTATCCATAAATGCAACAAGACTTGAATTTGGAGAAGCTGCTTTCCTTGGAGGGTATCAATCTATTGTGTTATTCATTACTATGTTAAATTCACCGCCTAAAATCAGAAAGGCGGTAGGATATTTCCCAAATGCAGACAGTTTTTGATCTAGCATGTTAAAGAACGTACGGTTTCCTGCAACAGAATTGTATTCGTAGATGTTGACAATGATCACTATAAATTCCTTGACAGCAACTACCATAAGCAGGAAATGACCTGAAGGATCGATACTGGTTTCCAGAATACTACCATTAAAATTATACTTCATAATCCCTTCTCCCGCAGAATATTCTGACCCGTGTGACAGCCATATTTTGTTGCCCCACTGTGACCTCCAAAATTTGGCATCTTTAGATGTAGAGTGACTTTCTTGAAAAAAACAAAAATCTACTTTGTGTCTCTTAGAAAATAAAAATAAAGCCTTCCTTTTAACATTATTTTTCAAACCCCTGGCATTTAAAGACAACAAAGATAAAGACATAAAAATGAAACGAGAATTATACCTAAAGAACTAGGTACAGAAAAAGATATCAATTAGAACAGAAGAAACTTCTCTGAAATAACACAAAAAAGAGATAGAACACCAAACTCTGCAACGGGATGAGTATAAGGGCTTGAGTTAAAGTCTTTTTCGTTTTCTTTTTTTTTATCCTTTTCTGAGTTCTTCCGTTCATCTTTTAGTCACTAAAATGTAATATCTTCTTCCAAACGATCACCCAGACTCATAAACAGCAAAGGATGGATTTAAAAGTACATATTCCAAATTTGTGACCAATGTCCGACACGTGTAAGTCCCAAAATAAAAGTATAAACTGAGTTAAGGATCCAACTCGTGAAATAACCAAATAAGTAACGGTACCTTTTGTTCTTCTGGTTCCAGATTCCTAATACCTGAGTATAACACAGTCTCCAGTCTATCCATCCTGTCAGGGAAAAAAAGGGCAAACAAGCCGCGGTGCTGTTCGTGTTAACCGTGATCGAGTATCAGAAAGTCATTGGGTGCGCGGATGCCACAGCATCATTCAGCCAAACTGATCTTTAGCAGAGATCCTTCTACCATCAATATAGGTGAAGGGGCCTCTGAATCCTGCTCTCTTCCCCTCCTTTCTCGCTTTCTCAACAAGCAGCCAGAGTTGGTTCCGGGCGTCTTTGGTGCTTTGCGTCAGGTCTTCGAAAATCCTGATTTTCCTTTCTTTGAGGACGACGGCGGTTCTGGCGTCTCTCCAGATCTGATCTCGGACTTTGCGTGAAAGAAACTGCACGATGATTCGGCAGCTCAAGCGAGCTCCTTCAGAGCACAAACCCAATCTATGGGCGACATCAAGGGTGTAGATGAGCTGATCTGCGATCTCAGGAGAAACTTTACTAAACAGATCAATGATAATCTTCCGGACATCTTCTCCTCTCTGCTCTTGAATACCGGACACTCGTAAATTCCACCTCCTCTTGTAAGCATCCAGTTCATCACATTTGTCACGCTGCACACGATTCTCCTTTTCCAGTGATTCCACCTTATTCTGTAAGGAGCCCACCTTGTTTGTCACCTCTTCTACTTGATTATTGGTGAACTCGAGCGCCTCAGTCACGCTGTTTAAGGAATTCGTGTTGTCTTTCACTGTTATCTCGAGGGATTGCATGCGAGTCAGGAATTCCGCCTGCATTTTTTCAACTCGCTCCAGAACTTCCAACAGGTGTACATTTGAGACCGTTTGATTGTCTGACCCAACTCTGTCAACCATTTTTGATTTCTTGGAGGGTGGTTTAGGAGTTTCAGGTTGAGGGATTATCAATCCAGACGTATTTACTGTGCCATTTCCCTTGAATGCGGCATCCAGAGATTTCCTCGCGTACGAGGAAAGGCCTATCTGCCTCCATTGCGCTCGTTTGAAAAGTTATGAGAACGAAAGAACGAAAAAAGACTTGCTTAGACCAGAAAAAAAAATATGTTATTAATCTTAATACCCTTTTACATGCGTTAACTGCAAAGCAAGTGCAGAGCTTCAGCACATGAATGTTACACAGTCGCCATCTTGGCCGTCCCCCTCGATTTGCCAGGATTCCACAGATCGGGCCAGGATCGCCAATCAGGCAGCCACAGTGCGCCTGCATGTGTCTTTGCCAGATTTAGACTGTGCATGTGCTCAGAGTTCAAGCATGCGTACACGGAGTATTTTACAACTGGTAGCAAACAGTGCTGTTTGCGACTGCGGCTCAATCCACTGTGCTACGTACGTTTACGACTCGTAGTGAATTCTAAACACGCATGCGTGTACGTGGACAGTGATTCAATGTCGTATAATCAATATCTATATACATATCTCAATTAGAGTGTAGAAGCCGAAGACAGATTCCGGTAAATTGGGCAAAATGGGTGGATTTTACCTTGCTACCAAGGTGAACCAATAGAGCAGGAGAATTGCGTTTGTTATATGTTTGAGCTGGGTTTGTTGGTGTTTTGTGACCAATAAATAAGTTATTCCCAAATAAAGTTTGTCAGACTCTTAATCGACTCAGTGAAATTTCCACGACAAATATACCAACTCCACACATGGAACCAGGGTGGAGACTTGAAGTCCCAGACGTGTGAGGCAGCGGTACTTACCACTGCAAGATAAATTATATTGAATACCTTTGTAATAATCTCATCATAGTTGCCAAGTTTCATATTCGTAAGTGTAGGTTTTTGGAATTGTATTACTTTTGAAAATGAGTTAAAAATATTCTTGAAAGAAAATGAATAGTGATAGTGCCTAGAGATTGTGTGCGAAATCAAAAGTTTTTTCCCCAAACAAATAACCTACCTTGTCTTTGGATGTTTATACACGTATAATTTTTTTATTTATGATTGCCGCTTTGTTGCTATAAAACTGTATTATGTGTATAATGTTAAATTGTTATTTTTAAGAAATAAATAGTATTAAAAAATAGTATTAATTCAGTTTTATTGAAATTACTAACAACAATACCAGTCCAATATGAAACCATGTGAGGTACAGATACATTATCTTGTAGAAAAAGATTCTTTTATTGTTGTGACTTACTGAGAAACACGTTTCCCACATTTGTTCCACAGGGATCAAAAGCTGAAACAACAGTAACTAAACTATACTTTTAGCGTAGACGCGTTCTCACGCATGCGTTATCATAGATAGGGAGGCTGCCGTAAATAGGGCTTCTGGTCCAAAACGCTGGCAACGTATGCAGGTGCACATGTAAACTATGCATGAACCGGATCCGGAAGCTACGGATTCCGTAGGGTGTACAGATCACGTAGTGACACGTAGTGACAGGTCTGGCTGTAGTACAATGCACTTACACTCTCTGCGTGTGACGTCACATGCATAACATCACAACGGGAAATACATCCGTGGCATCGTTTCCTTATTACAATATGAAACTATATTCTTAATAATGTTAACGTGTACACAATTAAAATGTTGCTAAATTTGCTGCAGCCTACAAATAGAGGCAAAAATGGCAAGTGTATACCATATACTATTTAATAATTGTTTCAAATAAACAGACTTCTGCTCTTCAGTATTCACATCATAGCCCAGGGAAATTACTTTGGTACAGTCATGAGAAATGTTTCATCCCTAAGAAAACCAGATGGTATGCTACAACTTTAGAAGATTTAGGGGGAATGAGGGAGAGGCAAATGTAATAAATTGTTACATGTATTGGGTGTTCATAATTCACTGTTTAACCAATAAGAAGAATTTTAACTGATTAATACTGTCAGCTAAATGTTTAATAAAAAAAAAAAAAGAATGTTAAAAAGCTTGCAGTGTGTTAAACGCAGAGGGGGAAAAAATTACACTTGGATACATAGCCTATCAATTCATGAGAACGTGTCGAGAAATGCATAACAACTGGTATAACGTCGTTTAGGACTTGAAAGATTGAAAATGGAGGGGCTACGAGCTAATCCGTACAGCAACAAAAGGTACTCGTATTGACCAGTGGTGGTAATGTAAAACATCTTCCACTCGTCCCCTGCTTTAATCCAGACGCACTCCGTAGATCTGATTTAGTGAAGATCTGAGCAGTCCGCAATGCTCCAATGCAGATGGATTTAAGGGAAGCGGCACTTCTTTGTAATTGCATATAGCGCCCGTTAGCGAAGCCCTCCATCCTTGTTCTTCACAAAAAAGACCCCAGACACCACGGGGGAAGTAGAGTATTGTATAATAGCTGGTTGTAAGGATTCGTGCACATACTTCCACATGGCCTCTTCTTTAGGGCACAACAGGGAGCAAAGACGTCCTTTGGGAAGAGCAGCTCCTTCCACAAGCTCTATGACGCAGTCCGAATGGTGATGTTGGGGCAACCTGAAGAAGAGGGCTTTGCTGACCACATCTCGGAACTCCTGATACTGTGGCGGGATGATTAACATATCTTCAGGTTGCAGACTCTCCACTGAGGACGCATTCCTTCACCAGGCTCATGGCCCACTGCAAAATAATCAGAACAACCATCAGATTTTTGGAGATGAGAGCAGGCGAGAATGCCCTTACCTGGACGGCTTCAGGCAGCATCTGCTCCAGGTGCACGGGGCAGGCTTGGTTGAAGTGCCCTGCAGCCCCACAGTACAGGCAGAGACATTGCTGGAGTTTATGGGATTGCTCCGCCAGGGTGAGAGGCACTCGGCCAACCTGCATGTGCTCGGGTTCAGACGATCAGGGCTCTGGCCTGGGGAGCGAGCAGCATCGCTCTCATACAATGTTATCCAACACTATGGAGAGCTGCACATAGCATACCATACTCAGTAGTCGAGTTGTGAAAACAACAATCGTGTATCAGACATATTTTGTGCACATGGTGGGAGAACAACTGTGTACCCTTTTTATTGTTGTTTAAGAAAATTAATATATTCTACTATCCTAAAACAACATGCATGGTGTGGATGTTACGTGTCAGACCAAGGCACCTCAGAATTGGAGTCTGTCCCCTGGCTGGCATAGCTATCACATGCTCCATAGTTAGGGTCAAATGCAGAGGACACATTTTCCCACTTGATTCAAGTGCAGCTTCATACTCATGGTACTTTGAAATCTTTTGGTAATTCATCTATTATAATGAAAACAAAACAAAACCTCAGAAAAATTGTAAATGAACATCTGAATCCTCTTAAGTCAAGTGAAGTCCAATTTAATTCAATTGCAAAAACAAAAGAATGAAACCATTGAAACAATTTACAAAATCTGAAAATGAATCTTACAAATTACACAAATATATAGCACAAACAGATTTTTTTGGATAAAAGTGACTTACATAAAACCTCATAGAAGTTTCCAAAGATTTTCATAATCATGTTTTTTGTTGTCAATTTTCCGGGCTCTTGCTTTTTTTTTTTTTTGGAGTCACCGAGTTAGAGACCGTATCTCCCTTCACTTGTACAGCAACCGTGTCTCACGATGGCCAGGTACTCGGCCGTTCAGGTGTTTTCAGCACCAGAAGGAAGCCTACGGACGCAGAAGTGACGAATGTAAGTGACGAACAAAACAATGAACGTAAAAGTGATAAGACAAGTGCAGACAGAACATGAAAAATAAATCCAAAATCGCGGGGGATGCTTTTGGAGGTTGAATAGCCAAAGATCAGTTTTAAAAATGTTTTAAAATAATTTAAAAAATCAATTTGTTCAGACTTACGAATCGGTTCAACCTGTTCACTGAAAAAAACGAGTTAAAAAGAACGATTTGTTCGCGAATCGGCCATCACTAATGCATTCATTGAAAAAATAGCACAAGGGATGGAACGGGGGGATGTTCATTTTGGATGATTTTGACTGCTTTTATTTCAGGGGGGATGACATCCCTCCTTATCCCCCCTCAACTTGAGTACTGACCATACTGCATCTGACCGACAGGTTGGTAAGTTGGGTGATCCGTGTCCAGGCATCCTCGAGTTGGGTCTGCAGTTCCAGGGGGTCCATGAGTCTGCAAGGTATTCTATAGTGAACACACAAGTTAGGGGAGATACTGGCAAGACTGCTCTTTATTTCAAGACCGGGGCAAACAAGCACAATGAGAGGGGCAGGCAGAGTCGTCGTTGACAGTACAGAGTCCGAACTACCAGCTTCCATTACTTTTCCAGTTATGCAAGTTAAACTAATTCGCTTATAGTTTGATGGATTCAGGCCCGTCGCGACAAGGCAGGCAAACCAAGCAATTGCTTGGGGCCCCGA